TTAATGTATAGAACTGCTGAGCTGTTATTCAGATAGTACAAGTAACACATTTTGGTATGTATTTCAGTGGGCTGTCCCATTACTGTGCCTAAGGTTGACAGTCCATCTCAGGAACAGGTGGATCATTACCACAGTTTATATATGAAGGCTCTGTCTGAACTTTTCCACAAGCATAAAACCAGCTGCGGACTGGCCGAAACACACGAGCTGCGCTTCATATAGAAATGTTGGAGAGCACAGTTATTGAAACAGCTGCCAGAATTATAACGTGGGACGGATACAAGAGGAGAACGTGCTTATTTCAGTATTGTTTTCATGTGAATTTTTAGCTTTTTGCTTCTCCCAAATGATGCTCAAAGCACAAAATGAATCGAATGAATGTAATTTGGGGTCTAAATCAGAATGATGCTCATATGGAGCTGTATATTATGTGCTGTAAATGAACACGGCAAAAAAAAACAAATTTAGTCATCCAAAAATAAAGAATTTAATACCTTTATCACAGTGATGAAACGCTGGACATTTAAAACATGTTAGTGCTCATAATGAAAATATGTGTGAAGAGTATTGAGGGGAAAGGGTATTTTTAAGTGTGAAAATATCATTTCCAGCTCATAATTATTTTAATATCAGAAATATGGATGATTTATACATGTATTTTGATGCTTTTACCTTAAATCCATCGGTGGCATTTTCAAGTGCAAAGTCTTCAAAATACCTCTCTTCTTGCAAAACAGATCATAAAACAAGCACATATTTACCACTTCTAGTCATTTATTTGTTTCATACAACACAATTTTATAACAATAAGATAAACATGTACACATTTACATACAAAAGCAATACTTTGTGTTAAATTACAAAACTTCATATACAAAAACCACTGTAACTGCTGCAGGTTCTTTTAATTATGATAAAGAAATCCGTGAATAGGCATTATGCTTTTTAAAGAACATGTTTTAACTTTTGTAACCATAAGATGCAAGCCTTTCCTTTCTGCCAATTGTGGTCGTTTACTACAAAACACTTAAATAGCAGTTTTTCACTGGCATTCTCTATATTTTAATAAGAACGAGCCAAAGCTTGGCACAGAATTAACTCTAATTACAATACTTCAACAGCTCCTCATTTTTTGCAAATGCTTTATGTTTCATCCTATTATGTGAAATCTCAAATGAAGTGCAGCCCATTTGTTGTACAAAGAAGTGCAGAGATGACAGGTTATTATTTTAGCAGTCAGGTCTATGGCTTCTAGTGATTTACACCTCAACATGTTTATTGTGCCGGCAAATGACTGATGCTTCTGAGGAACATAAGCTCGTAAGTGTGCATTTTGACCCATAAGCTTGCTTTACTTTTGATAGGAGTTCAGTTGAGGAACAAATCATACCGTCCACTTTAGACACCTGAAAAGACAAGGAGCGCAATTCACACTTAATTCATTTTCCCTAGTCCTATTCATTTACCATAGTATTGAATCTATTTTAATGATGTTTCATTTTGATCTTAAATGGATAATTAAAAAATTCTGTCGTCATTTACATACCCTAAACCTGTATAACTCTCTTCTTGAAAAACATTCTTCAAAATATCTTCTTTTCCGCAGAAAAACAAAGTCATACAGGTTTGGAAACTTTTTTTTAACGTTTTATGATGACATTCACCCAAGAAAAGTTTTGTTTTTGTTTTTTATGCTTTATTTGAACAATTCACCCAAGAAAGGTGTGCTAGTTTCTCTCTGGATGTTTCTCAGCACGCAGTACTAGTGAGTGACAGATGCGTTACCTCCTCCTGCAGAAGAGTCTGAAGTTTTTGTCTTCTTCCTCCGCTTGCCTTGAAATCAGAATCCATCAGGCGAGAACAATAAAGACAAACACAACTGTCAACGTCGGATACAGTTCGTAAAGGATTTAATGCGAGCAAAAGGATGGGGACTGATGCATTACACCGGTGTTACGAGATTTTCGGTTTCCGAGATTTTCTGTTTCAGTGGGCGGGGCATACATGAATATTCATGAGTTTCCCGGACATGCGCGTGGAACCAGGTGGAACTGAGAATTTCAGTTCACGCTCCTTGTATTTCAGCTGGTTTAATGGGATATATATATAAAGGTAAATATTTTACAGCGTTGCACAAACCTATGCCTAAACTACATTTGTTCATAATTTTGTAACCGTTTATAATGTTTTCATTAGTTTGCACGTTTTGTGCAGTCGTCGCTGACTGAATGAGTGCAGACATTCAGCACACTTAGTTGTCAATTACTTTGATTTCAGTTCGTTGTGCTGTTGCAATGCTTTAAAAC